TAGTGTGTGTTTTGTGAGATGGAGGAGGACTTTGTGGATTGGTGTCGGACATATGAGTTAATGTTGGACTTATGGGCTTGGGCAGCACTGGGTTGGGATGTTTTCTTGATGTGCTGTTAACCTTTATATAAAACTCTCTTATACATGAGTTTCTGTGGATTTGTTTCTCTAATGTACCCAGAATAACACATTATGTCTGAGAACTGCCCTGGTGTTCAGCCAAAGCTTCTAGCACCAGGCTTAGTCATTGGGAATATGTACCTTGTGGCTGGATTTCTGGGAGGCACAGAGGTGTGGTGAGCCAGCTAACTTCAGGGGAGTAGGCTGGGATCACCCATTTCTGCAGTCGCTGTCCTAGAGCAATGCATGAGGCAGAGACTGCAGGTGGCCCACAGGAGCCAAGGTAATCAACAGAAGCATATGGTCACTGATTCCAGCAGAGAGTGAACCTGCAAGTGTGAGAGAATGGTTTCTAGAGGGGGTGGAAGTACAAAGAGAAAAGGATTCCCACAAGTCCGGCAGCATGTCTGGGCATTGATAAAAGGCAGCAATTCCTGTAATTAAATGGAGCCATTATCTTAATCATGATGAGGTTTTGGAGAGCAGTTTGCAAAGGCTAAAGCCACTGCAACACTCTCATTATTTTCTTCTTCTAGAAAACCATCTTTCCAGCTCAAAGGTGCTGCTGAAGGCCCACAGAGGTGTCCCGTTCTTACGTTTCCAGGGGCCCCCATCAAAACCAGGGGGCAGACTCATCTGACAAGAAGCCCCTCGGGTTGCTGCGGTGGGACCTGCTCATGACAGGCCAGCCCTGCACCGCAGGGCTCTCCATGGAGCTATGTTCTAAAATACAAACAGGAGCTAGAAAAAGAGATGATGCGGGGGCGGGGAGGGTGGTGCTTGTAGATTAAAGAAAAATCCAAAGATGATCCAGTGAATTGTATGCGGACCTCATAAGATCCTACAAAACATGAACTGTAGGTTGGACATTTTAACGCCACAGCCAGAAGGTTGGCGGCTATTTCTACATTCTCCTGTCTCATTTGATCTACCCGGTAGACTGTATCTCTCACACGCTGGTGGTCCCTTCTATTCTCAGGAGTTTCTGTGCCCAGGGGACACAAATCAAACACAGATGCTCTGAGAGGGGAGTTGGAATCGGCCACCTGGGGAGGGTGGGGGCTGGTCTGTATGGACCACTGGCTGGGCCCAGCCCATTTTGGGCTAAATGAAAACACACTCTCCCGACTCCCCAGAAGGCACAACATCAAGCATGAGTTAGGGTAGGGGTGCTTAAAGATACTCCGCGCTGGGGTTTTGCGGCTCTTGGTAGAATGCCTGGCACGTGGTCGTTTTCTCTTGAATGGACCCGGGAGCTCTGTGATAACCAGAGGCTACCCTGGTCCAGGCTCACAAATGAAATTGGTGCGAGGGGCTTACAAGCCGTAGCCACCCTGCATGGGTGGGCTGTTAGGTCGAGTCAGGGTTTGTGTGCTTGCTTGTCTCTGAGCCTTGTTCTATTGAGATCACTGCAAGCTAAGGTGACCAGATTTTAACATTGGTAACGCAGGACACCATGGATAAAACTCATATCCTGGTGAAATAGCCACATGGCAGCCGAAAACCGTATACCCTAGCTTGTCGTGCACTCTTTCCGAAAATCGGGACTTTTTTAAAACACCGTGGGACTCGGGGGAAAAAATGTTTAAAAGCGGGACGTCTGGTCACCTTACTGTAAGCTCCCATGCCGTTAGTTGTAAGAAGTAACACAGAGATCCCTGTGCCCTTGGTCCAGTCTTCCCCAAGGGTAGCATCTTCTAAGACAATACGCATCGCAAACCGGGTACTGGCAGTGAGGCAGTCACGGCAGTGCCTTTTCTCCTCACAAGGATCCCTCCGGCTCTTCTCACAAGGGAGCTCTCTCCTACCCCACCCCTGGACCTCCACTCTGTTCTCGTTTCTATAATTTTGCCTTTTCAGGACTATTATGTAAAGGAAAGCACATCAGTCGTACCTATTTGGGACTGGCTTTTGTCACTCAGTGTAATTCAGTTGTTGCCTCTATTAGTGGTTTCTTTTACTGATGAGCAGTCTTCCCTGGTGTAGACATAGCACTGTTGGCTTAAACATTCACCTGTCGAGGGCTTTGGGCTCATTTGGGTTGGGCTGTTATAAACAAAGTTGCTCTAAAAGTTCACGCATGGGTAGCTGTATGAACATACATCTTCACTTTTCTGGGTGAAGTAGCCAGGAGAAATACACTTGTTTTTCACGAATTCGCTGTCTATAAAGAGTTACAGTCTCAGAAACTAACAGGGCAGTTCTACCCTGTCTACAGGTTTGTTACAAGTCAGTATCAACCAAATGGCAGTTTTAAAAAAATTATTTACACCCAGAACGTTGTACCTCAACAATGATGGTACTGATTTTCCCCTCACTAAGTAGGAGATCTGGAAAGATGGAGCCACAGTGACCAGAATTCTAATGGGCCAGCCCCCTTTGAATGATGTGTTTGCTGGCCTGGCCCAGACAGGCTCCTGGTGTGCCTGATCTAACCGGGCGTTGTGAGTGGACACTGCTTTGTGGTCAGTACACCCCCACTGCTACTGGCTGCTGTGGAATCACTTCGGAGTCCTGGTAGCTCCATGTGTGTCAGAGTAGAAGCGTGCTCCACAGGGGTTTCAAAGGCTGATCTTTCAGAATCGCTAGCCTCCTTTTCTGAGGTTCCTCTGGGAAGGAAGGGTGAACAACAAGCAGTTGGCAGTCGAGGGCCCTCACTGCTGGTACCGCCACAGCCTCTCTGTCGCGAACGGGCTCTGAGCATCAGAACACGGCGGATCCTATCTTGATTTGTTTAAATGCAGGTATACATTTGCTGGCCTATGTATAACCCTTCTGGAAGGACATTCC